AAGGCTTTCAGACAATCCCACCATCTTCCTGTCAGACACTTTAGACAAGAGAGAGAAAAGAGAGTGAACACCTTGGCAGCTGCTTTCCTTTCAGGGAACCAGACCTGGTGCCTCAGTGTGAACCAGCCCCTCTCTCATTTTTGGTTCCTGGTAGCCCCCACATGTATGCCATCTGTAGAGAATCTCATTCAATTAAAGATTCTGCTTTGTTCCCTATTGTTGCTTTCTCACAGTCCTGACACATGTCCAGTCCCAATGATAGCACGAGGCACTCTGAAATTCTTTTTAACAAGTAGCCTAAAAGTTCTTGAAGTCAGCAGGGTTTCTAGAACGAATGGTCAGGGTTGGTTGTGAGAGAAAATGAAAGTATTTGCTTATGGAGAAATTTTCCATGTGTGAACCACAAACTCCCATATCCTGCTTTTGGCCAGAGTTGGACTTTCCCAGAGTTGGTTAGACATTCCCCTGGTGGCCTCAAAAGCAAACCAAAAAGTCTTCTATCTTTTGTCTCCCTCCATCTACCATTCCCTCTCCTCACCTACTCAGTCAATTTTCTTGAATAAGTTTAAATGTAATGTCTCCACTTCCTCCCTTCTCATTCAGTTTTCTACCTATGTTAAGCTAGCTTCCATCTCTACCTCTGTACTGAAACTATCCTTGCAAGGTCAATAATTGCCTGTGTTGCTAAAACCAAGAGAAACTTCTTTACCTTATCATATCTTACCTCTAGGTAGTGATTGGCATTGTCCACCATACCCTTATTTTTGAATGCTTCCCCCAAACACTTCTAGTTTCCTTCTACCTTTGCCGACTCTTCTTCCATTGTCCATTATTAAATGTCGGTGGCCCTCAGGGTTCTAGACTGGATGGAGTGCTCTTCGTACTCCACCTGCTCTCCAAGGATGAGCTAGACACACCTGGGGCATCTGCCCATGGCTCTCTAGGTGTTGACTCCTAATTTACTACCTGCAGTTCAGATGTCTTTTCTGATCTTTAGTCCGTATTGCCAACCACTCATGGGACTTCTTCCCTTTGCTGGGTCTTAGCCCTCACACTCAGTATGTTCAAGCTGACACCACAGTTGCTTCTACCCCAACCAGGTGTGTCCCGTCCATATGGTAGCATATGGCCACCCAGAGCAGAAACCTGAGAGGAATCCTCGACTCTTTTCTCTTTTTTTCTCTATAACCAACCAATCCTCAAGTCCTGTAATTCTGTCTCCTAAATCCATCTTTCTCCATATCACCACATCTTCACTAAGTGGACTTTAAGTCTTCCAGCCTTGTCCTTCTTAAGTCTGTTCTTCCTAATGGAAGAGGTGTGATCTTTCTCTTCAGTAGCTCCTCATTACACTTGGAATAAAGTCCTAACTCCCAAATGTGGCTGATGAGGCCATATGGGATTTGGGTAGTTCTTACTTTCTGCCCCCCACTGGACTCATTAGCTATCCTGGATGCTCCTGAGTATTCCTTCCTTCTAGATTTCATACATATTATTTTTCTCTTCTCTTAGCTCATTGACTCACTTATCTTTAGGATCCAACTTGAGACACTTCTATTCAAGCCTTTCCAGGGACCAAGTGTGGACAAAATGTCCTACCTACAAAGCTCCATAGCACCCCCACTTATTCCTATTTGAACATTTATCTCACTCGACTGGGGGACACAGACCAGTAGACAGAGTGTAGGTCCTTGGGGAGAAGGGAACACAGGAAAGGCCTTTCTTTTTGTTCTTTGCTGCCTGGACACCTGGCATAGTGCCCAACACATACTGGGTGCTCAATACACATCCGTTGATTAAATAAATAGACTAACAAAGAACTCAGCAAGGATTATTAGAGTCTGGGCTCTTCTTGTTTCACTTAGCCATTTTCATGTTCATGTGCTCTGCAATCTTTAATGAGTACTTAAGGCATACTGAATATTTCCCCATTTCATTTACCCTCACATCCTCCTGTGAAGTTGGGGTAACCCCATTCCATATTTCATGCTCAGGTGAGAAGTAATTTGCTTGAAGTATCAGAGTCACAACTCTTGGGTTAGTGTTCTAGCCCTAAGTCGAGGCCCCTTCCTCCTTGATTTTGGTATCAAATATCAGTAGACTTTCATTCTATCCAAGTCTGTCTTCCATTCCGGTCCTGATGGCTACTTCCTTTGGCCAGAGTTCCTTTTTGAATTCAAGGAGATCTGAGAGTATGGAAGAGATATGAGCATGAACAAATCTGGGAAAAGCTCACTCAAAAATCCTATTCCAAAAACTTGGTTCCATGGCTGCTCAGGAGAGTAGAGATTTAGTGTCAAACAAAGAAAGTCAAATGTTGAGGAAACAGAAGTTTATAAATTTGTATCACCCATTTGAGGACTTTTCAAACTGAAAAAGTCATTAACCTTTGAACATAGTATTTTGTGCTTTTGCCCCCATGGTGGATTATGAGAGATGGTAATCCCCAAAAGGGGGAAGAACCAGTATATAATGAGTATCAATTATGGGTCAGGAATTGGTTTTATCTTCTCTAAATCCTAATCGGTATTTTGGCTGCATAAGAAAAATTCTGGTTGAGGAAGTCACCCAGATCACACAGTTAGTAAGTGGCTGAACTCAGTTCAAAATCAGAGCTGATTTTGCATCATGTGTCAAGACAGTGGGTTCTGGAGTCACACTGCCTGTGTTCAGTTTGGATCTGTGACTTCACTAGAATGTTTGACTTTGGGAAGTCACATGATCTCTCTGAGCCTATGGCTTCATCTCTTAAATGTGGATAATAGTACTTACTATAGAGTTGTGGGGAGGATTAAATAAAGGAATATCTACAAAGTATATACCTACACATATTAGCTGTGATATAAATGCTAGCTACCATCATTATCATCATCATCATCACCACCACCACCACCTTTGGCCCCTCTACTTGCCAGTAAGGCAGATTCTTCTGGGCCATGAGGTAAATGGGTGCTCAGAGCATTCCCCTTGAAGACTTTGCCACTCTTTGAAATTTAATAATTGGTCAGGGGTATTGGGTGCATGACTCAGAACACATACCAGGAGGGACCAAAAGTAGTGTTGAGAAGTAACAAAGTAGACCGCAAATGTATGATGGACAAATAACTCAGCTGGCTAGTTGGGAGTGCTGCCGTAGGAACTGTCCTATAAATAGGGTTAAATATTTTCAGGTGGAGGTATTGTAACTAGGCATGTTTGGATGTACTATCTAGGAGCTGCCAAAAATACATGTGAATTGACTTGATATGATTAATACTAATGTTAAAAGTACACATCATGTAATAATTAATGTTTTGTGAGTTCTTACTAAATGTCTGGAACTATGCTAAACACTGTTATCCTATTTAGTCCTCACAATGGCCTTTATATAATAGACATTTTTATTATTTCCATTTTATAGATGATGCAACTAAGGCCTACAAATGTTAAGTATGATCAGGATTCTCTAACAGATAAGGGGAAGAACTGGCATTTGAACCCAAGTTAGGCTACCTCCAAAGTCCATGCTTTTTCTTAACTGTGATTCCTTCTTATACCCTTACTTTGGGGTTTCTTAGCAACCTCTACTTCAAGTGCCTGATTTTGTGGATGACCTTAAGACCCAGTGTTCATTGATGTACAGACTCTATCATCCTGAAGCAGATTCTCCAAAGTAGAAGGGCACAGAAGAACATGCTCAGATGGAGAGATGCCCCTGAGAGTTGAAGTCAGGCTCTGATCTTTATTTTTTCATGGGCAACATCTTCCTGCTTGAAACCAGGGTAGCTGGCTTACAAGCTTCTTGCAAGGGAGCCAAGCCAGACTCTTCCTAGTGCAGCTTCATTATTATTATTCTCTAATGAGAAACAGATTTGATCATAGCAACTAGAATTTATTTTGGGTCTTTGTTCCAAGAGCCAATTAAGGTTTCCATTTTGCCTTGAACTAATTCTAGTATCCTTATATATTTGTAATAGAAGGCTGGAGTGTTCTGGATTAAGCTATCTCAGCAGTATCTTTACCTAAATACCTTCGTGTGTGGGGGTGTGTGTGCGTGTGTGTGTGATTTTCTAGCATCCTTCTCTATAAGACTTTTGGTATCTTGTAAACATGGTCAACTGGACTCTCCACACTGATTGGAACTTATGGATGAGAGATGATAACTTACTCCTAAGAACTTAATTAGTTTTCCTGGTGATGACCTTCTAAGAGGAAGCATGCTCAAGCATCCCATTTTTTCAAATCAGAACTTGAGAAGCAAGATTTGAGGAAAGCTTTTTCTTAACATTTCCTGGTTCAAGAGGCATTCTGGAAAATCTAATTTTTTTAGGTTAACAGAGAGGGCAAGGCAAAGTATTTGGTTTTTCCAGGATACGTAGTCACTACACAAATTGGTCAGGGAGAAAATTGTGTGGGGTTTCCCACCTAACACCTGTGTCTGTGTATTTGTGTGTTTTGGGGGTTGGAGGAGACTGGAGTGCAGGGGAAAAGACAGTGTTAATCTTGAGCCTTATAAAAAGATGAGTTTTCTATTAATGGGAGAATTCACAGGTGGTTACTCTTTCCTGTAGAATTAATCAATAAAATAAGTGGAGGTAAGCTGGGATCTTCAAAGAACAGTTTAAATGAAGAGGAATTGCTGGCTACATTTGGGAGTATCTGGAGCCTGGGTACTAATTCTGAGATCCAGACTCATTATTTCCCCCTAATTCTTCCTTCCCTTCTCTTTTTTCTTTGCTATTGTTTATTGTGTGCTTATCATTCATCAGACGTTATGCTAAGCAATTTACATACATTGCCTCATTTAATTTTCACACAAGCTTATAGAAGTTTGATTGTTATCTCCAATTGACAAATAAGGAAATCAAAGCCCATAAAGATTAAGTAACTTGCCCCAGAGCAGGCAGAGGGAAAGGTTGAGCTAGAACTCAGCCTCATATCTCTCTGGTTCTAGACCTTGACTGCTCAATCACCATGCCATATTGCTTCCTCACTAAATGTTTTCTGTTCTTTGTCCCCAGGGACAGGATGAGAACATCAGTCAATGTTGTGGGTGACTCTTTTGGGGCTGGGATTGTCTATCACCTCTCCAAGTCTGAGCTGGATACCATTGACTCCCAGCACCGAGTGCATGAAGATATTGAAATGACCAAGACTCAGTCCATTTATGATGACATGAAGAACCATAGGGAAAGCAACTCTAACCAGTGTGTCTATGCTGCCCACAACTCTGTCATAGTAGATGAGTGCAAGGTACCTTTCCCGTTAATGGATATTGAGACCTGTATATAACAGTGCATGCTTGATTTCTTAACACAAACACAAAAGCTCTGCATGTATTATCGTCACATTTATTTTTCTAAAGAGTCATGTAACCCAAGCTTCTGTGAGTCCCAGATCATCTAACTCCATGTCTAACATGGTGGGAAATCAACAGGTCTAACCATTAAAGAGCCAATCAGTTGCTTGTTTTGTCCATGTGATGTAAAAGAATCACAAATTTTGTCGGCTTTCTTGAGTATTTTGCCCAAGACTTTGTGGTTTCTAGGACTTTGCCGGCTTTCAGATATTCTATTCTTCAGGTGAAACAGCAAGAGAAATCACCCAGAATCATTTGATTTACATGGTACAAGTATTCCGTACTGCTGTATATCACATATTGGTCAAAATGTGCCCACCTAATTTTGCACAGCTGTCTTTCTCTTAATTATTTTTGTGAGAAGGTGAGTTTTTACCTGCAGTCTCTTTGCTTCAAGAATGGGGAAGCAATTTCAAGTAAAGGATAACTATACTTCAGGACAATTACACATAGAGGTTTTTAAAAAATCACTACATTTCACACACTGCCTGGCAGCACCATCTTTCCTGAAGCATGGATGCTCTGGACTCTTCCAAGCTGCTGGGTGCTAAGCCTTTAAGCGTGATGGGCTCTGTCTAGCCTTCACTGTAACTAATCTGACATTGTCCAAGACAGAGTGAAGCAAACTTGGAGAAACCCTGGCAAGTGAGCAGTCAGTTCCTGAGGTTTGGTTACTAAAATGATTCTAGGCAGCCTTTTTGGTTCCTGTTGACAAGGTCTTATTTAATAGTTCATTTGTTCCTTTATTACTTTTGTGACATTCCAAATACCATGGCTTCTGCCAGGCAACTAAGGATAACACAGGAGCAATTCTCTTCCTGAACTGTAAAATAGGTCTGGAAGTCTAATGGACCAGCCACAGTCTTTGGCTCCTCCCCTCCATGTGAGGTACACACATGGGTGAAACAATCTCTGATACAAATTAAGGACGGACCCCACCCATCAAGAGATAATTACATAAATTAGTTAACTCAGGGAAAACGATCAAATTACTAGAAAATCAGATGTACCTAAAGGGTATACTCCATTCTCCTGGAAAGTTAGTGTTTCCTACATCTACATGAATATGCTAGATTCCCCATCAAAATATTTGTTTTGGTCAAGAAGGGTCAACATTCCTGTGGAAAGACTTTATACTTTATTACATTTAAGAAGTATTTACTGTGTGCCTTGTGGGGTTTAGCTGAGCACCCATCTCCTTCCTATGACCTCCTATACCAAGGGTTTATTGAGTTCCCATTATCTGCAAATCCTGAATAGGCAAAGGACAGCAATGTGAGTGTCCAGTTTTGTAGTGGAGATAAGGCTTGATCCCAAATCACATCCATATAAGGAAAAATAGTAGTATAAAACAAAATGAAATCACCACATATATTTTTAAATTTTCAGTGACATATAGTAGTTACCTGCCTCTGGTGTGGCCCTTTTAGATATTCTCAAGAGGCTTCTTTACAATACTGTTAAATCTTAACATATTTGAAGAAGACACATAGGCATGGAAACATCTTTAGATTTCAAACTTCATGGATTTTTTTTTTCTCTTAAAGGACATCGAGCACATCAGGAGAAATCTGCTACATTTTTTAAACAAAACAGTTCAAGCTCCAAAGGCAAATGTTTGTGAACTGCCTTATCACTTGGATATAAGCCCATGAGGAGAGTAGAGTCACTGTGTCCCCATTTATCACTGCTAGTCCTAGCACCTAAAGCAGTACCCAGCATGCAGTACAAGCTCTAAATATTTGTTATATGTATCTTTTAGCATGTTGACCCGATGCTTTGTTTTGGATAACCTTTTTTGCTGGACAGTTCCAAAGAGATAGTGGCTCAGTCTCTTTCTATAAGCAATGCCTAGCCAACCACCTGCAAACTCATTAGTGGATTAGATGGTGAAATGGCGAAACTGAGCAGGTCATGGAGATGATGAAATGGCCATATTGGTTTAATAACTCTTCTGGCTGTTTGCATTTTTTAGTGAGGTGATTGAGTTTAGTAGGCTGAAGGTTAGTTGGTCCTCACCGTTTGCTAGGTGAGGCAAGTGACTCTTTTCACTCTTGACCAATTAACTAAGTCGACAATGATGTGTACAGGCGGCAGCCAGAACTATGGAGACAAATTTGTGCACTTTCCCTGAATATCTGAGTCATATTTATTCATGACTTTCAACTTCCTTTGAGTCCATTCTCAGTCTCACTGTTTAAAATTAAGATGCGTGACATCAGTGCTTATGGCCAGTCCCTTCCTGTGCATTTCCATTTCCCAGGTGGTTGGAGCAGAGAGGAGTGGAGTGGGTTGGGGAGTAGAGTCCTGGCTTCCTTTAACCCAGACAGAAAAGAAAATGCCAAAAAGTTGCTGGCCCTGCTACTTTTGAAACACAGGCCTGGGTATTTAAACAAGAACAGCAGTAGTAACAAAAACACCACCCCTGATCACTGCCTCATGTTACAAAGGCATTACACCATGGTTTAGGATTTTGCACAGTGATTGATCTGGTTTATCACTGAAATCCAAAGAGGCACATCACAGTCAGAGTGAACAGGCAGCTTTCTTCAGGCACACAGTTTGTTCCTGGCGGTCCTTCCTGACAGATCACTGAAGGGGAAACAAATTTGCTTCAGCTCTGGTCAAAACTTTAATGGCTTCAAGCATTTTTACGTCACATTGGTCTCTTGATTTTCAAATTCTTGCCTTGTAATAGTACTTTGAAGTTATGTAATAGCTTTTAGGTTTTACTTAGAAAAACTGCATGTGGGATGGTCTTTGCCTATTGCATGGTCTTCCTGAAACAATATGGGAGCCCAGTGGGATTGGAGGAATGAAGAGTTTTTATTTTCACCAGCTTGGTTCTTGAAGGACACTCAATTTTTTGTCCCTAGCATGTTGTGTGTGTTCATAATGCATGCGTTTCACTTCCACTTGGGTAAGAAGGTCAGATTTCTTTCAAACATTGCTGCGTTTGTCATGTCTCCATATCCTAATGCTTCCATAAATCCAGTCTCTCCATTATGTGGAATATCAGTCGTGGGTTTAAGTTTGCACATGACCTTGAGGACAGACAGATGGAAGGTAAGCTAGGAAAACTATGTAGAAGTGGAGGGGGAAGCCTCCCATTCTGTGTAAGGGTTCAGTTCACTTAGCGCCAGGGATAGCCCCAAGCATAATATAGACAGTCTGGTGATTATGTATTTGATTATTAAATGTATGCATTGAAATAACTTAGATAGATATGTCAGTGATCTCAGGCACTTAATCTCCCCTTTTCCTTTTAACTTTTAAAGCCTGGATAGTTTATTTGGCATCCAGAACATCCTGATTTCTGATTTTAAAATTGGACATGAATAAAGTCCACCTGGCCTCACTGCAACTGAACCTTTCACATGCATGAGTAGAACTAGCTGCCTACTTCTGGATTTCCTTTCTGTGTGGTTGTGTGGAGTAGCACAAGGCACTATTTTTTAAGGACTGCATTATTGTGTGATGGGTCTATGGATAGTTAAATGCCCTCACAACTCTAAAAACATAGTAGAGGTTATTCCCCAAATTGCAAAGTATGTCTAAGTAGTCCCTCAATACCTCCCCAAGGCAAATAATGTATTTTTTTAATGTTCACAAATTAGTGTTGAAAACCAAGACTGGCTCAGAATCAATTTGGAAGGAACAACATTTAAAACTAGTATTTAAGTCATATAGTATTCCTGGATCTGGTGCTTACTCCTCCACATAACCCATGGGGTGGTTTTCTGGTTCACAGCCTGTAAGCTGGATGTTGATGATAATTATTTTCAGGTAACTCTGGCAGCCAATGGAAAGTCAGCTGACTGCAGTGTTGAGGACGAACCTTGGAAACGTGAAAAATAAGGATCTGACTCTCAGCAAATTCTTGAATAAAGCCCCCAGCATATCTTATGGTAAAAGAGGATATAAGCAAGCTTTCTTTAAAAAGGAAAAAATAATACATATATTTCTATATTTATCTAATCTGTTAGCTGAGGCTTAGAGGATCTGTTGTAAGCCAGTGATAGGCACAGTGCTCTGTTTTTGCCAAATAATGCTTTGTAACCATTTATTTTCTCACTTGTATTATTGTTTGAATGGATGCTGTTGGAGGAACCAGCTTGAATCGAAGACACCTTCTTGCCAGCTTCCCTTTTCTTTCAAAGTGCAGAACCGTGAATGCTCTTTTCCCAGAGGACAGGAACAATGCAGTGTGGTACACTCCAGGGCCTGGGCATGATGAGCAGACGTGCGGTGTGTTAGGCCTTCAAGTGTTCTCCACGCTTTGCCTTGTTATGCACAAGAGATTCTGTTAGAAGCCTCTAGAAGTAATTATCTTTAGATGTCTTATAGAGTTTGCCCATGTGTTGATTAAAAGCAAGTACCTGTCTTAGGGAACTTAGACAATTTGTGTTCTGTCTACTCCATAAGCTCAGTGTTTCCAAGAGAGTTGCACTGGGAGCCATACTCTTAAAGGTCACTGATTATGGAAGCCACTGAGTGTCTGCTCTACCCAATCTAGATGGAGGAAAAATTATTGAAGTTGCAAAGTGTGTTTCATAATTTGCTCTAAATGTGATAATGGATTAAGATGTAATTTGCGTATACCCACTGTATATACTGACAATAGTCAGGAAGCACAGTCAACATAAATTTTAACCAGATTCAAATACAAAGTCTTTTATGTTTGGTTTGTATCCACCCAACATAGTGAAACCAACAGAGATTATTTGATCTATGCTTCACTTTATTTGTTTCACCCATAAAATTCTTGTTTAGGTTTCTAGTGAAAAAGACAATTTTAATCCCCAAATTATTTCAATCATATTCTCATCAAACTAGAAAACCTAATCATTACATTCTCCTAATATGTGGAGAACAGTTGTGTTGGCTGTGCCTCTTTGAATATCATCTCTTGATATAAACAAAACATTGTCATTTATCTAACATGTAGAAAGCTTTTCGTTATATTATATCAAAGCACATAAAGGCAGCTACAGGACACAGTTGGAAGCAGAGCCAATCTTCCTCCCCAGTCTTCTCTGTGGAACAGAACAGAAAACAAAGTGCAAAACCCTATAAAGGTGGAAAACCCTATAAAGGTAAAATCAGGGCAGCCATGAGCCATGATGCGGGAACAAGGATGGCTCTACACAACATCACAGATGGAGTCTTTTCAAGGCTATGAAAGTCTAAGGGAATAAATACTGGAACCGGCGTAGCACAGTGCCATGTATGCTGCAGGCACCCAACGGATCCTAATTTTTCAACAAGCTAAATTTTTCATATGTCTCTACTAACATTTTCTCTTGAATAACCCACAGCATTTTCCTAGGATTGCTGGCTTTGGGAATTTGCTGAGGATTTGAACATGAATCATTGAGAAATAAGCATATTTGACCCTAAGGAGTATGCAGAATCTTGGCCCGCGGCGTGGGAGTACAGTGGTCATCTGAGGCCAACTGATGGAGGCTGAGATATTCATGAATAGTCATTGGGTCCAAATTCTCTAGAGAGAGGGTGTTTATGGACATCACATACACTTTATTACCTATTCCTGATGACTTTTTGCTTTCAATCAGACACCTTTGGAACATACAAGAGACATGAGGTTTTGACTGTTTTTCTTTTAAACCCTAGATATTTTGTATAAGGATTACTATTGAGCAGTATTAAGCAAACTTTTGCTTTTTAAAAATGTCATTGGTCTTCATTTTCATCAGATAGATAATTAACAGGATGGCCGAGGATGTGCTGGAATGTAATAGTGGAAAATGCATCCTTTATAGCAGACGTTGTGGGTCAAGGGGCAAGTTTCCAGATTTAGCTGTGAAACTGTTAAGGATTATCTTTAAGTGGTGCTCCCAAGAGCTTTTTTTTCATGAGGAGAAGGATCTAGGCAAGGCGTATAGGAGCTTGTGGGTTTTGCTGTTTAAATCCAGTTTAGCATGTGTGCACACTAACATGTTTCTCCAAGGACTGGTCTCAGAATTGTCTTCCCAAGACTCTGCCTAAATGTCTTCCTGGCTTGCTTTGACTTTGCTTTTTCTTTGTTATCCAGTTAGCCTATAAACATACCAGGGGACAAAGTGTTCGTAAGAAACAAGGTGCACAGCTTAACAAAGCAGGTTTTTCTGGTTTGAGACTGGATGCAAGAAGTTTCAGGAGAATATACTCAGGAAATCACATTTTTCTGAAATTCAACAAGTCATATTAAAAATAAACAATTTCTCAAATTCAGGATTAACCCAAAAATCCAGGATGTATGTAGAGCTGGCATATGATTGTGTCCTCTGTTTCTTTTAGGCCTCATTTATGCTTCTCATGCCATGCCCATTGGGGTTTTTCTCGCCCAGAATATGTGCCATAAACAGAACAAATAGATGCTGAGTATACTTCTAACAACCTTTTTCTAAGTAGGGTATGTATAACCTGTCAGTTATATGCATAGATTTATATTGGTAGATCCAAGACAGATATGAATGCTTATAAAATCTCATTAATATTTGATGATCCATAAATGTCACATTTATATACAGACACAGCAGGCCGGATACACTACTGCATCATGTAAAGTCTGTAAGTCAGGGCTTTGGCAAGACCATTTTGTAGCCTCATTCACTTTTTTTAAGAATCAGAATCATTTCAAGAGAAAACCAACCAAGTAGACTTTAATCCTTCCCTTTCTCATTTCTGTCCTTGGAAACCCTGGAATCATCATTTGATTACCTACTGTAATCCAATTACTCAAATCCTATCAGTGAGAAAAAGGTTCATCTCCCAAAGCAAGGCTTTGCCTTAGATCTTTGAGGACATGCCCCCCATGCAGTGAGCATCAGTGAAGCAAGGCAACCATCTAGATCACACAGATCCTCAATATAGGACTTCTGGTGCTGAGATCTGAAGCAAGTAGATGTCAGATTTAATTCTCTACTTCCTACTGGGTGTGGAAACACAGTCTTATTGCTTACAGAAGTTACCATGTTCCTTAAGAGACAAATACTTCAACTACTGATCAGCCGACAGAGAGTGCCAAAATGCCTACCTCCTGGACTTAGATCTGTGGACGCTGAGAAAGGCTCAGGGGAAATTCAGTTTATGGGGGGATGTACTCCTGGTAGATAATCTCAGGAATCCCAATGACATGTTGAACAGAGGGTCTCAGGTCATTTCCACTCGTGCATTGAGATGTGTGTAATTTGCAAGTATGTCTAGTCAAGAAGCCCTGTGGAGTTGGGTAACTCATCTACTGCACCCCTAAAAGGAAACCCAATCCTGCCGTGGTTTTGCAAATACCACTGCTTGCAATAGCAAAAGTTATGGTATCATATTTCACTTTTGTTAGGATCAAGGTTTTTTTTTTCTGTACTATGTTTTCCCATGAAATACAGCAGTAAATAGGTATGCATGCGCTCAGTGAGAATTCTCCATAGTTTGGACTGTTGATGAACAAGTCTCAGCAGCCCTTGCCTGGTCTGATGACTAAAAGTGCTCAGCAGTCACACCCAGTGGCTTTCCCACTCTGCTGCTCTTTCCCTCTTGGGGCCATAAAGTTGTCTGGGTTGCTGGTTTTGTTTTGCTTATTCTTAACTGAATTCATTCCAAAACAAGGAAAAGGACCAAATGGGATTTTTCAGTTATTATAACACTTGCTCTTTGGATAAGAATATTAGAGATTGGGAACCTCAAAAGATTAAGTTTAAGCAAAGGGCCTGAAGGAATTCTGAAGAGAGAGTCAGACATCTGGTTGTTGGAGAAGATTAACGGCCTCAGTATCCGTGGTGATTCTGGCTACAATCTAGAAGGGCCGCTGAGGGCCAACCCAGACAGGTTGCGCTCTAGGCAGATTGTTCTCCTTGGGTGAAGTGAAGTCAGAACTGCTCATGCAACAGTTGCTTCTGATTTTCCCCAAAGGAAAACCCAGCTTCATATTCTTCCCCTCCTTTCTTCTTATGCCACTTATCATTGTTGCTGCTTAAAAGAAAATTTAGTAACCATATGAGTTAGGACAAGGGTTGGTCTTAGAATAGATGGCATGGAATTGTAATTGAATAGTATTTCATTTCATAGTGTAACAGAGCTAATTCAGGTAATGACGTATAAATGATGAGAACTAACACAATTGGATAAAGGAAACATTTGACTTAGACCCTGCCAATTTTTACCTGAATAACTTATTCAAGTCATTTTATGCCAAGCCTTATTCCTTTCCATATGCAAAATGAGGGGATTGGATTAAAAATCCCCTTCCAGCCCCAAGAATCCATTATATGATCTCTGCTTAATTTCTTCTTTGATAAGATGCTTACTAATACAAATTATTATCTTCACTATATCTTCAGTCAGAGGGGCCCACAGTAATCAATAATCAATTTACATTTTTCTCATCCCCTTTGGGGAAAGTCAAATGCAAGCCTCTCTCCACTTGGTATTTTACAACAGGCTTGGAAGATAGCCATGTTAATCCACAGTTTGGTGTTTTGGAATAAAAACAGACATCCTATTATAAAACTGCCCTTTCCCTAACTCACTGTCCTAGTAGAAGTAGCGATTCAACTCAAGAGAAAAATGCTACCAGAGTCACCAGGAGGGTCTGGATAAGTCCCCAACCCCCCTCAAGGTTTTGCATCACCCCTGCTATAGCAACAGAGCTCACTCTGAATACCCACAACACGGTGTTACCCACACAGTCCTTACTGCCGACCCAGTGTGGGGATTTGGGAGCTTTTGGCAAATAAACTTGAACATTCTTATGAAATATACAGCAAGACTTACACAATAGCAGCAACTGTCTGTAAATACCTTCCCTCTCTGCCTGTAAACAGACATCCATGCATGCATGAACCTGGGCCAAGTCCTTTCTCTGGAGAGAGATGCAGGGATACTTGATTACATTCATTTACACACATTGTTCTAGGTTTGCATCACACCACAGGTAGAGAAGCTCTGTCTTATAAGAATGGAGTTGTGCTGGCTATCACTGCCCTCTTCAATGCCTGAGGAGTATTTAGGATGGGTAAAACGCATGGTCCATCTGCAGTGGGCACCCTACCAACCCATGGCCTTTGAGCAACTTCTTGCACTTTCTGGTATGGCTGCAATGGGCCACCACTTACATCCTTGCCCTTTGCCTCTGCTAAATATGGAGTAGGCTGGTATTTTTTGCATAGTGACAACTTTATTGCCAGAGAAGACTTCAGGTCTAGATTTGGGAGAGCAAGATAGAAACCCAGGACTAATAGGATTGCGTTAGTTTTTTTTTTTTTTTAAATTTTTAGTGCAGAAGAACTGATGCAAGAGCAGCAGGAAAAAGACTAATTCTCAAATGACCCATATAAGAACCTACAGAAAAGTAAGAGAAGCCTCCAAGTTCTTATTTTGTTCATTCTAAATAATATCCTGAATAACTACTGATGAGATTTTTCTATGTCCAGCCTTACTTCACCTCCCTACCTTCAGACCAAGTATTCATTTTTGTATTTAAAAAAGCCCTTCAGATTTAAAAAAGCCCTTTCTTGCTGAAAATACACCCTGCTACAGGAGCAGACCCCGCTGCTTTGCAGTCAGCATTGGACCTAGAGCATGCATAGCGACAGGGCTCCGGTAGCTGTGGAGACATCCTCAGTCCCTGGGTACCTGTTAGAACATAAGAGCCAACTGTTAGTCTTGTCATCACCCCCCCGTGGAGATGGGGATGATGCAGTCAGAATCTTGCTCCTTCTGGGGCTCTGTTTCTTTTCATGGCAACCATTAGCATTCCTGGAAACGGTCTACTACCTTTGGTAGGAGAGAAATGCACACACTAGCCAAGGAAGTTGGTGTAGCACATCTCTGAGGTTTCTCCCCTGTAAAGCGAATTCTTGGAGATGTATGATTAGAAAGCTGGCACTCAGGTTGCATAATACTTCAGGAGAGTAATTTTCCTTACTAGGAAGTCAACCTTTGGCATACAGATCTTTCCATAAATCACCTTAACTCTCCCTCTCCCTCTCTCCCCTGGGAAACCTCAGCATTACATCTCCACATTGCACAAAACAGATCAGATTATCTGGTCACTATAGAGATTTGTATATAGAAAACTACTTTTGTGAGGATTTTTGTATATTGTTTTTCTATTTGTTTTCTATGGCTTGAGGGAAGAGCTGGCAAACTGTGAATCTAATCTGATCCTGCTGCCAGCAGATATATTTTGTTTTCCTGGTAAGAATCTGTGTTACCAGGGACAAATATTGCCCTCTGATCAGTATTGCACCCCAAATTCATAAATTCCTCCAGTCTAATCTTACATTCTCTTTAAAACAAATCTCTAGGCTTCTTTGCTATTATTTATAAACATGAGAAAATGTATTTATAGTCCTGAATATTACATGTTTAATATTGATTTAAACTTTAATAATGTTATAGGTTTGTATCTATTCTTCATAAATCTTTAAGAACTCAGTGCAGACTGAATCAATCTATTTAGTATCTGTAATTTTGCAGACAGATATTTTCTTATGGTATTTTCTATATAACCACATATGTAGAATTGTAACTGATTAGAGCACAAGAAGTTTCTACAGCAGTTTAGAGCTATCAATTATTTCCTGAACATAAAGCCACATTTGAAAAATTTAAGAATCCTGTCCTCCATGATGCAATGAAAAAAAGACCATAAAGAATAAGGAATCACTTAAATCCCTTAGCTTGTTAGGATGTGCATTTAAACAATTAGTCTTTTTAACTTGAGGAACGGTGCTGATTCTCTATTTTTGACACTAGGCCTTGTTTTTCCAGTTAAGCATTCTCAATTTGCATTTAGCAAAAAGAAGGAAAATATAGTGATAGTAGTGGTATCACTTCTCTATCAGAACCTCCCATGCCTTCCTAATGATTTTTGTGAAAATTGGCTTAGGAGAACTTTGAATAGCAGAGATTGAGGGTGAGTGCTAGGAAACAAATCAGAATGGATTTGTTCCAGCTCCTTCTTGCCAATTGGTAGTAGATTATCACATTGTTATGTGAATTGAGCACATATTTTTAAGAAAAAGTAGTACTACTACCAGCTATGAAGCAATACTCTGTCACTGGGACTGGCAGTGGGGACTTAAAGTCACACTGAAATTGTTTAGACCCAGCCCAGGTAGATTCTGTCCTCAGGTGAATAACAATCTATGTAGTTTCCCCAGAAGGCAAACCAATAGCCACAGCAAAGACAAGAGGGTCTTCCTTCCACCAAACCTTTCTGATATGGTTGTACAGCTAGTATTTTTGCCATGTTTTTTTAAAAAATAATTGCATAGAAAATATACTGGTATGTATTTGAACCTGCTTCTCATTAAGCAAACATTAGATATGCGCTCAACTGGCAATGACTGTATTTGTGATTTTCAAGTACAGATAGCTGTCAAAGCATGAAGTTCTTGTGTGTACACAGTAACACTTGGTTCACGCATGAAGAACAGTGCCTATGCACTTTGTGTAGCTATAATGTAGGTATCTATGTGTAATTTCAGTGAAATGTTGTATAGATGTGTTGTAATTTAATTTAAGTGTTATTTTTGGCTATTCATCTAAATGCAGTAGACATGTTGATTGGTGTTTTGGAAACCCTTCTTTTCCATCTTAGATACCTGGTAGTGAATCATTTATCCTCTTTCTTAATGTGATTTGGGAATGTATATCAGTGGAAAACCTAGAATTCTTTGTACTGATGATTGTTTAAAAGTCTGTGTGTGCCCAACATCTTTGTAAATATGCAATTCAGAGCAAGAGAGGGTTGGATGTATGTCATCATGAAAGGCCATCTGACATCTGTGTAATTCATGGTGAATGCAACTGTGGAACTTTCAATTATTTAGGCTTAGGTATGTTTAGAATGAGGACATTTTTCTGCAATCTTCCTTTGTTTTGGTGGATTGGACTCAGAGAAACAAAAGGTTAGTCTGCTTCTGTGCATGTCAGCATCATGACCTTTTTGCCAAGTACATGATACTCAAGACTTAAAGGTTCTAAAGAGCCTTGTCTTCTTTCATTTCTAGAGTCAAGGTACAGGAAAGATATTCATTGACTAACTTCCATGCAGGCAAAACCTCACAGAAGCACAGTTTTGATAGTAAATTGCACATTTGTCTGTACAGATAGAGTATTAGAAGCACAGGAAGGATCAGTGTACAGCTTTGGGGTTACAGAAAGGCAACTGATGAAGCATATCTCATATATGTGAAGGGAATGTGGCCTCTACCTAATAAGCTCTGTGTGCATGTTTTGAGTGATTGAAGATGAGATTAACTAATGCAATTATACACTTGCCTCCTTAAACACACATTCTGTCTAATTATCACTAAGTGGGACACTGTGGGGTCTATAGTTCCTATAACCCCTTTCTCCTGTGCAAGGACAGAGAAGAATGGCCATGTGCATTTGGGAAAGCTGAGTAGCTACTCTCTTTTCACATGAGAAGTGAAACCTAAGAGATCCTGTGAGAGCACAAAGCCATTCATTTTCAGTGGCTTCTCCAATTGTTGGAGTGAGGGGATATATATGGTGGGCAGGCACATTTTCCCTTGAAGATGTGCCTTCTTCAATGCCTGTCAAATTCAGGGTGGAACTTCCTGAAAAAAACCTAGCCTTTGGGTAGGATTCTCTTTGAAGATTCTTGTGTGTCCAGAATGAAAGATAAGCATAATTGCTTCCCTCACATTCACAATCCCCACTGGTCTAAAGTCATGTAGCATAGAGCATCTATAGCACATAGTGTTTAAAGACAAATGAAATGAAAGAAAGATAAAAACTTCAATGAATTTTGTGGTTGTTTCTTATATATGGTACTAGGAAATGCCTTTTTGGCAAAGCATATTTTGAGTAGTTGAGGTCTTCCCCCCCTCCCTCCACCATTAGCTTTATAAGCTTTCTTATATTGTGAACTAATTACTGTAACATTTCATGCATAAAATAACTGGATATTCTTTATATACTGGAAATAATCTGTGAATCCAATATTTCACTAAGTGTTTTAACATTTTTGTATATATCTCTCATCAATAAATGTGGATTCCAATTTCTCTTGGTTGTTGCTTCTCCTTCAATTCCCATTTTAGAGTAGTGTTGTTTACATAGTTAAAATCTTTAGTGTTCCTTTTGGAAAAATTTGTGAATTGAAAACTACTGTGTCCAAATGAATATTTTCTAGGAAGCTTAGATATATGGTAGAGTCACATTTTAGGATCTAAAGTTAGTGAGTTGGACAAAAATAGTATATGATCAAAATTATACTTTTGATTTATACTAGTATGGGCTATCCCCCAAATCTTGGGGGCTTAAAACAACCAAGGGCATCTCTTACTTCTGTGACATGTCCATCACAAGTCGACTGGAGGGGCTCTGCTCCCTGTCTTCCTCATAAAGGGAGTCGGAGAGAGAGTTCATCTTCACACTTTTGCAGTTGCCAAGTGCAGAAAAATGGGACACAGCAAATCTTACACTAACTCTTAAAGCTTCCTCCAAATTGTTACGTATCTCACTTCTGCACATATTTCAATGGCCAGAGCAAGCCACATGGCTCTACCTACTTCAAGGGGGCAAGACGTGCAGCTTTACCAGATGCCCAGAAAGAAAATGGGAAATAGTTGGTCAATAGCTCTAATGACTATCAGGCCATAAAAATTATTTAAATCATTCATAAAGGATAATGTACATAGTCCTTCAATAAATTTTTCTCTAGCATTGGAAAAATCATTGCTATGGAAGTAAGTGGAAATCATTTAACAGTCATGTGATAGAAATAAAGTTCATATCTTCAAAAGTAGAACCACACAGAAAAACAAGATTCCCCCACATATATATTAAGGTACATATACAGGAATGGAGACCCACTCAGAGAAGAGCAGGTTCTCTTTTCAGACCCCAGGGTGTATACATATTGAGTAGAATGGCTTGGGTTTGTTGAATTTTTCTCTCTTTCTTTTTTATGGGGGGAAAGAAGGCAAATATTTTATTTTAATTAAGTAAAATACATGGATGTAGCATATCACAGTTTTCACCAAAGTCATCAATTTATTTAAATTGTTGGTGAAAAATGGGCACTTCATTTGAAAAAACAGTTTGACTTCTTGGAGTCAAGTCTACATCCCATCTATATTCAAAATGTTACTAAAATGTTATTTACAGAAAATAGGCTCAGCAGTAAATTTTTGAGCCATCATTTTAAGATGGTGAAAAGGATTTCCATAGATCAAAGATAGCAAAGAGCCACAAACCACTATTCTCAATTAACATTTTAATATGGATACAGTTTGGTCAATATCAATCACTCCTTCAAGAGGACACAGCCAGAGAGAAACTTGACTTTGCTTGCTCAGGGTTTGATTCCCATACTCTGATTTCTTACTCTTTCCTCTGGAACAGAGGTGTTTAATCCATCCATCACCACCATGAAGGTCAGTTAAATGTTGCTTTTACTTATCACTGCCGAGAAGGAGGAGGAGGAGGAGGAGAGAGGGGAGGAGGGAGGAGGAGGGGGAACAATAATAATTTGGGGGATGAAAATGGAAAGAGGAATTGTCGACTAGGAGTTATGAGACGGGAATTCTGATTTCCCTACTGTCACCAAACAGTTGTTTAAACGTGGCCAAGTCCCTTTGCAATTGGGAAGTCATTTCAGCATATGTGAAATTAGGGGTTTGGTTTAGATAATTTCTAAACTTTTGAACTCTGAAATTTGAGTTCTATCAGCCAAGTCAGTCATCATGACTACAGATGGTTTTATTTTTTTAGTCTTAGTATTTTATACACATGAAAGAATATATGTAACCTGTATCTAAGCTATAAAGCCAAGTGATACAGAAGTGCACAACCCATTCCCCAGTGCAAGAATGAGAGTATCACCAATGATTTCCCTTGACCTTCTTGCTCCTTCCTTATCCCATTCACCTGTTTTACTGCCTAGAGAAAACCATTACAAGGGAACGTTTTTGTTTATCATCCCCTTTCTTTTAAAAAATAGTTTTACCTGACATGTATGCCTGCTGAAACAAGCTTTGCTAATTTTGAGCTTTAGGAAAAGGGCATCACACTGCATGTTGTCTTTTTGAACATGTCTCTTTTCTACTTCACATTGTCTCAGTTCGTTCATATTGTTACAGTAGTTGTGGTTTTATTCATTTTCACTGCTGTGTAATAATATATAGAATGTGAGCTATGCCACACTTGGACCATTCATTTTCCTGGCAATGGACATTTGCCTCATTTTCAGTTGTTTTTCTGTACCAAACGGTATAATCCATAGACTGCTGACTAGTGTCCATCTCTCTAGTGGGATTAATGAGACAGGCATAAAATAAAAAAATGAAAACAGAGCATTTTTAGGAGGGGAATTTAAGGTTAAAGCTGAAGCTCTTTCCTCAGGCTTCCATGGTACGGCCTTTGAGCCCAGCTCTGATGGTAGCTAGTCAGGCCCACTGAGACTTTGATCTCTTTTTTGGGCAGTAATGTGCTAGGCCCAGCAAGCTCCACCCGGCTTCAGCTGGCTGTTGCTGTGATGCCAACAGCTGCTTGACAGACAAGTTACAGAAAGTCACAATTCTCTCCAAGGACCACTAGTGGCCCATTTAGCAACCCACCCCTTGCCCCACAAGGGAGGATTGTAGAACCGCAAAGTGCAGTGTCTCTGAAAAGGATGAGCTGTGTGGCTGCCTCCTGAGGTGCTGAACCATCTGGCCACTCCTTCCAGGCAGTGACAGAAACAGGAAGCCTGGATCTGTTCTTTAAAGAACTTTGGGTGACAGAAAGTTCAGTCACCTCCCAGGAAGCTTTCATGAGGGGCACTCCCCACTTGTCGCCTCTCAGCCCAGACAGGAAGGCATGGGTGCAGATTCCCACACGTCTGACATGGTCCGTGCAAGGAGAGGAGATTGTGGAGTCCCTGGCAAACATGCACATGTTTTTAGCCTAAAACATTTTTTCCTGGTGGTTTCATAATTCAGTGAATTCATCCTTCCACTGAAGCAGTGAGAGACCATATTTAACCTGAGGTTATTGTAAGAAAAAGCGAGCCTCAGAGTCAAGCTTAAATTCAGAAGTGTTAGTTGGGTCCAGGCTGTTTATTCAAAAAGAGAATATAGCCATATATTCTGACACGTATGCCTGCTGACCTCGTATAAAGAGAATAAAGCCATCCAATGTAAATACTGTTCTTACTTTCAAATATTTAAAAGCAATACCTTTAAATCTATGAATTCCATAAGGCAAACAAATAAAACATTATTTTGTACTCCCCTCTCTTTACCAGAACAGAATGAATATGCAAAAGCCTAAGATCTATTTTTGTCCCTGATTTTAGGTAATCAGATTCCAGCCTTCCAAGTATTGTCTGGAAAAATCTAGTGACCTCCAGTTAGGGGAAAAAAAAGACAAATATAGAGCTGCAGTCATCTGTAGTACACTCCTTTCGTTGCATGACCTGGCTGGCCTGGAATTCTCCAACGGCTTCTGTGACTTCTCAGATATTTTCCAGGTTCTGGATAGCATACTGCTCATGAGGGGTGGTAGGTGGCGGGGGATGGAAATTCCAAATTGCCTTCATCTGAGTGAAAAGTTCAACTGAAACACAAGGTCTCTTCTCTAGTTGTTTGCCCTCCCAATCCCCAACTTTCCTCTCTTGATGAAGAGGAAAGAGATTGTTCCAGATTGTACAGCCAGAGAGGACCTCAGAGGGCGAATATCTGAAGTTTAGCCATGCCTTTTTGCAGATAAGGAAATGGATACCCCAATTTACTTCACTTCCCTCATCCAGGGGGATAATCATGCCTGTGCTGTAGGGGATCTGATGAGAGAACATCCATAAAATAGCATAGTACTTGGCAGACAGTAAGGGTTAAACCAGTGGTAGCTGTCATCATTATCACTGTCATCGTCATCACCACTATTATGATGCTGAGCGTTATTGATCACAACATCTTAGTGACTAACCTGGAAGAGGTCATGCTTCCTCTTTTCCAGTTTGGCACCTTTTCCAACAATATCACATGGACACCATCTTATAACCCAGAGCTCAGCTGGCCTTCCACACATCTGAGCTTTGTTGACAGACCATTGCCTCTCCTGACCCAGCCTGGGGTAATCCTTCCTTCCCTCCTAGAGACACTCCATGGACATCATGAACCTGTGCTCTCTGATGTTCCAAATGCCCCTCTATATTTTCTTCCATTACTCGCCAAGGCTCTGGTTCCTGACAGTGAAGGAAAGCACTGGATTTCTCCAGAGAGAAGAAGTGAGTCTCAACCTGGCCAAAGTGGCCTCTCAGCAGGATGGGAGCCTGAGCTGGCTCTTCCAGTGGGAACCAGGGCATTCAGAAATGAAGCAATTCCTTTGTCTGCTGGAGAAGACCCACAGGGAGTCCCCAGCCCTCAGTGTTGCATGAAACAATAAAGATGAATGTCATAGGAGAGGCCATTGCCGTGGAACGTGCCGAACCCACAGGACCCTCCAGCAGTCCCCTGGTGGAGTCTGTTCTGGATGACTTCCCTTCCCAACATCTCTTTCTCCTTTGTAACATCTTCTTTCAAAAATAACATTTGCTTCCTCCCTCAACAGTTTCACGAACCCAATTTGTGAAAGACTTTTTGAAGCTTTTTGTTTTGGGGTGTCATCCATTGCCGTGCCAGAATCATCTCAAAATGGTGGGGCTCTACAGTTTTCAGCAGCTTCAGGGCATGGCCAAAGTCTTAGAAGCCTGCTATTTATGATTAATAGTAGCTGTTGACCCAGGTGGGATCCCACAAGCAGAACCTAAGGCAGGATTCCAGTTCACACGAGTTTTTTGAGGGAATACTTTTCAGAAAACCCTATAAGGACACGAGGGAAGTAGGATAGGGAAGAGGAGGAGCTAAGCATGAAGAGAGTCTCAGGGAAAGTCTAACTCTGAGTTGTTCCCTTGAGGAAAGGCGATTCGTTTTTGAGCATGGGTACCAGCCAGTCACTGGCTGTGGGCTGCTTACAAGAGGGATGGCACAGCCTCCCAGGTGAGGTAGCGCCCATTTTCCAAGAGCCATTCTCTAGAGAAAGG